GTCTTGCCCTCCATTCCCACGATGTCCCTTTTTCCTGAAAGAACTATGTGGCGCTTTGGCTCATCGTATGATGTATTCGCTTCCTTATATTTTATTTTTCTCGGTTTGGTAGACATGTCCTTCACATAGATAACCTATGCCACATCATTGGCTAGGACGAACGGTTCGTCAGTATACCCAAGATTGTTCAGATCCACTGTTGTCATTCCGTACTGTGGGTCTACCTGGACCCCGCCTCCTGACAGATTGACCCATTTGCACTTAAACAAAGGGACCTTAAAATCATGTCCGTAGTCAAGTTCCCATATGTCCACTATGTAACCATAATATGTGTCCTTTCCCCTCTCGTTTGCTGCATCAAAGCGGACACCGCTGTTTTGGTTGGTGCTCTTTTGATCTTGGGCGATCGTGTAAAATGTATTCTCATTTATCTCGTATCCTTTGTAAGTCAATACAGTTGAAGATGGTCCCCTGGACAACGAGTACAACTCATCACAAATAGTGTTGTCACCTCTGAGACGTGTTTCCAACCAACTGCTGAAAGTCATGATGTGTTCACATGTAATCCAGTCATCACACTGCTCCGGGTGTTTGAAGTGCAGACTGTTCTTGTGTTCATCGACATATGGGGTCACCAAGGTAGAGTTCTGTAGAACTGTGTAGTGTGCTTGAGACCAAGAATGCCTGTCCCTGCATATTATTGTGTTCGCTCCTAGCGTGCCTTTTCCAGTCAGTCTTCCATCATACCGCGATTTAGGGAGACATATCTTCTTAAGGCCAGGAATGAAGTCAACACAAAACCCAATGACATCCTCTGTTTGATGGCCCATGGAGATGCTTCCTTCTGGCCTAGCACAGTTACAGACATATTTCTTTAGGACTCCCATGAACCTCTCAAAGGGGAACATATTGTGTAGAAATACGGGGCCCAGAATGACAATCTCGTCGACTAGATGAACTAGGACGTGCGTCATGATATTAAAGAAGGATGGTGGGGACACCAGCTCAAAACTGACAAGACATTGCTCCACATCACTCCTTAGCCTTGGTATGATTTCTGGATCGATCACCTTCTGAGAGATTGCATTGAGAAATGCACATAGCTTCACAATGGCTAATTGGATGTTTTCCGGTAGAAGCCCCCTCAATGCAACCGGAAGCAGTTGCGTCATAATCACGTGGCTGTCATGAGACTTTAGGTTCTGGAATTTTTTCTCTGGAATATTTATTATTCCCTTTATATTCGACGAGAAGCCAGTCGGGACCTTCATACTGAGCAGGCATTCAAAAAAGATTTCCTTCTCTTCTTTGGTAAAATTCCACCTGTCAAGTACGTGATCACCGGTACGCATGGCGGGCTTCTTCCGGTGATCTGCCTCGCCTTTGAAATGCTTGCCTTTCTTTCAACATTGATGGTTGGTTGGGAGAAATCGACGATGGCCCAGATACACATTCTTCCTGCATCTGTCCAGGTATATACTCTCGGTGTCAGCTAAACAGTGCGTGCATGCGTGGTATCCCTTATTTGTCTGTCCTGAAAGGTTACTAAGAGCGGGACAATCGTTGATGGTTACAAACAGCAACGCATGCAGGTTAAATTCCACCTGTTTGTGCTCATCCCACACACTTTCCATTCCACAGCTGTAAAAGTTCTTCAAATGGCCTTAGGTACACATCAATGTCTTTGCCGGGTTGCTTAGGGCCTTGGATGAGAATTGGCATCATAATGAACTTCCGCTTCATGCATATCCAAGGAGGAAGGTTATACATACATAGAGTCATGGGCCAGGTGATGTGATTGCTGCTCTGCTTCCCGAAAGAATTAATGCCATCCGTGCTTAAACCAAACCATACGGTCCTTGGGTCACCTGCAAACTGAGCCTAGTACTTTCTCTCGATTTTTCTCCACTGCGACCCGTGAGCGGGTGCTCTCAACTTCCCGTCTTTCTTACGGTCCTCACTGTGCCATCGCATAAACTTGGCATGCTCTTTGTTTCTGAACAGTCGTTTCAACCGTGGTATTATAGGAGCATACCACATCACCTTCGCAGGAACCCTCTTCCTGCGGGGATCGCCCTCAACATCACCAGGGTCATCTCGTCCGATCTTATACCGCAATGCACCGCATACCGGGCATGCGTTCAAATCCTTGTACGCACCACGGTACAGGATGCAGTCATTAGGGCATGCATGTATCTTCTCCACCTCCAATCCTAGAGGGCATACGACCTTTGCTGCGTACGTACTATCGGGCAATTCTTTATCATTTGGAAGTTTCTTCTTCAATATTTTCAGTAGCTTCTCAAACCCTTTTTCAGGCACAACATTCTCTGCCTTCCACTGCAGCAATTCCAGTACGGTACCGAGCTTTGTGTTGCCATCTTCGCAATTGGGGTACAACCCTTTTTTGTGATCCTCTAACATGCGATCGAACTTCAGCTTCTCCTTTTCACTTTAGCACTTTTCCCTTGCATCAACAATGACCCGACAGAGATCATCATCGGGCACATCGTCTGGTTCCTCTTGATCTTCAGCTTCCTCCCTTGCAGCATCACTGTATTCAGGGGGCACATAGTTGTCATCGCCCTCTTCTTCTTCGCTGTCTTCCATCATAACTCATATTTCTCCGTGCATCGTCCAAACATTATAGGGTGGCATGAAACCTTTATAAAGCAGGTGGGTGTGAAGGATTTTCTTGTCAGAGTAAGACATCGTATTCCCACAATCAGGGCATGGACAACACATAAAACCATTCTGCTTGTTTGCCTCAGCCACTTCGAGAAATTTACGCACGCCCTTAATGTACTCGGAGGTGTGTCTGTCACCGTACATCCATTGCCGGTTCATCTGCGTGCATTATATATAATTATGTGTGTCAAAAGTAAGAAAATTAGACAAGTATCTATCTAAAGTAAGATTTTTTTTCTTTCAGAAAGAAGATAAGAATAAGAGGCTCACCACGTTGGTGCCGCGACGAGATCGACGGCGGTGAAGACGAGGACGGGGCGTGATGGACCGCTAAACCTAGACAAATCTCGGAAAAAATGGAGCTCCGAGGTAGAGCTTCGAGAGGAGAAAGCTTAACTAATGTGGCTCGGGCATTTCATCAAACACCTCACATGCATAAGAGGTGAGCTAGAGCACCCAAATGCCCTTCCTCGCCGACCAGCAAAAAACAGAGCACTGTGGAGTGCTCTGCTCACGGCGATGAGGTATATATAGGAAGCTCATTTGTCCCGGTTCGTGGCTGGAACCGGGACTAAAGCCCAGCCTTCTGTCCCGGTTCGAGCCAAGAACCGGGACCTATGTTTGTGGGCCAGGAGCGAGGCCCATTGGTCCCGGTTCGTGCCTGGAACCGGGACAAATGGGTCCATACGAACCGGGACCAATGCCCACGAGGCCCCGGCCGGCCCCCTGGGCTCAGGAACCGGGACGAATGTATCCATTGGTCCCGGCTCGTGGCAGAACCGAGACTAATGGGCTGGCCAGGTTTAACGAAAGCCCCTTTTTCTACTAGTGATTCTTATCCGCCTTGGCACATTCCTAGGCTTCACATGGGCTGCTTTTTGTGCCATTAAGTTTCCTTGTACCATTGTTCTGACCACCCTGGTTTTGCTTGGGGAAGGTATGCTCCTGGTGTAATCGCCAATCAAAGAACTCACCATGCCCGTGTTCTCTACGTGCATCATCATAACCCCACTACGACCTCTAGCATCGAATCCTCTGCCCCTTAAGACGGCTCCTCAACCCTACCATGTTTCATGACCAGCGTTAAGCCATGGCACCATTTGAAGTCCTTCGTCTCACGCTCGTCTGTTCCACATTCAAGGTGTGAGTGTCCGCTTTGCCCGCCCGTCTCGCAAAATCACGGAACGTTTTCATACTTCACTTGAAAAAAATTATGTTCCCTTCCACAAGTGATAGTAACAATTTTGTGATGGCTTTAGGTACACTAAACTTAACACGAGCCCACATATAATTTCCAATTCCACCTTATCCTTGCGCCTAGAGCCTTCGACTGGTAACCATCTAACAAGGGGGAAACTTGTCCAGGACTTGGGAACAGTGAGTGAATGATGACCACCCGCACAATGTACTCAGACTACAGATCACTCTACCTTCTTGAGCAATGAACCAGAAGCAATTTGCAAAACTTACCCTACAATTATTTCTGAAATGGCACAGTTTTGCTGAGAAGGGGCAGAACCAGGCAGGGTTTAGAATCTGCTGCTTGAGCAGCGACCACCTAACCTTCATCCTTCGCCTGATCATAAGTCCACCATTCATCCCCGATTGGCATGTACATATTTCTGAGCGAGAAATCTTCGCCTTCAGAGAGTCATGGCGCTCTTTTGTCGGTTGAGTTTTTGTATCAGATTACAGGAACATGGAAATCCCATAAGGGCAGCGAGCTCATTTACTGCATACCTGGGCATTTAGCCAGTTACCACCACCTGACCAGGGAGGTGTTCCTTGCTTTTATCCTGCCACATGGATGGAGTTCAACTTTAAATTTCATCACAAGTTTCTGCCAAATTTCACGGGCATGCATGATGTACATGGCTCGACAATCAAAATAGCTGTGGGCTGCTACGTACATGTACACACCTGGTTCTTCAGAGATGCAGCAGCTACTGGAGCGAACCGGACGTGATATTCATGTTCAGCTACATCGGATTTGCATGCATGGTAGACTGGTAGTGATCAGTAAAACATTGAGCAGTCAAGTACTTCACATACTTATAGACCAAGATATTGGCTTTCTCCACCATACTTATAGACCATTGAGCAGCCTATAAATGTCCCTTGCTGCATTTTAAGAACCGCCACTAATGATGCTGGCGCGGCCCTTGCTTACTCAGAGGAGGAGCAATATATATACTATCTACTTGTCGCATGTAACATCAATCACAAATGTCATATGAAACCTCACGTGGTCTGATCTATTGTTGTATCATCTACAGCATTTGCTCCGGAAGCACCGGCGTGAGCAATGGCTTACCTTGGAAGAACGCCTCAAGGTTCCCGATCATGAGGTCCGAAATATCAGAGGCCGACTCCACAGTAAAGACGGCCTCATGCGCTGTGAGCACCACATTTTCCATGGAGAGTAGCTCTGCCGGCACCACAGGCTCCATCTCAAAGACATCGAGGCCCGCGCCCGCTATCCCCCCTCCCTTGAGTGCGCGGATCAGCGCCGCCTCATCGACGTTCCCTCCGCGGGCAATGTTCACGATGACGCCGTCTTTCCCTAGCGCCTCCAGGACTTCCTTGTTGACAATGTGCCGTGTCTGATCGTTGAGAGCGCAGGCGACGACCAGCACGTCGGATTCGAGAGCGAGGCTGATGACACTGGGGAAATATTTGTACGAGATGGTTGCTGAATCCTTGGCCCTTCTGGAGTGATAGGAGATGGTGCAGGCAAATGCCTCGAGCCGCCTCGCGATCAATGTACCGATGCTCCCCAAACCGATGATGCCTACTCGCTTGCCACTGAGCTGGTGCATCATCGGAATAAATATTGACATCAGTTTCTGTTTGAGATAAAACATATGTATGCAAAGAACAGAACTTGGGGGAATCAATGTGACATAGTACCCAGTGTCCAGACTCCAGACTAGAGATTTTCAGTTTTTTTTACTGTAAGAGATTTTCAGTGTTAGGCAGTAGTATGCCGTCGTGTACGCCCTCTGTATAGTCACCGCGTACACGATGCGCACCGGCTCGTGCAGCCAGATCGTGGCGCACGTCGGGCAGTTTCTCCACCCCATGATCTCCACTAAGTAGGCAGGTAGCACTAAGCTGTATATATACCCCCTACTCGATCAATGAGAATGCGCGGTGTGAGTTATCCCCTAATCCTGATCTTCTCTGTCAACATTCAGTTTTGCAAACAGAGAACACTCTGAATTCTAGCACCCTACTGTTGTTCTCCTTGAGCAATGAACCAGAAGCATTTTTGCAAAACTAAATCCTACAGTTTATGGCAAGATGTGGATTCAAATCTCGGCAGTTTAACCAAACAGTCTAGTTGACAGGGACCGAAATTTGCTGTGCTTTTCGGATCAAAAAGAGGAAATACTTCAGAAATTATCTGCTTGGTAGTATTTCAGTACAGAAGGAAACGACGGACCTTGGAGCCAAGCGGGTAGTCCCCGCGCGCCGGCCACAGCCCGCGCCGGACGAACCGGTCGGCCGCCGAGACGCGCCGGAGCACGTCGAGGAGGAGCCCGACGGCGTGATCCGCCACGTCAGTGGAGAATGTCTCACCGGCACCGGCCACGGCGACGCCCCGGCGCGCGCACTCGGCGAGGTCGACGTGGTCCAGGCCGGCGGCGGTGGTCACGACGCAGCGGAGGCACGGGGCCGCGTCGAGGAAGGCGGCGTCGACTTGGATGGCGCCTCCGCCGACGACGACGGCGGCCCGCGGGGGCTCACCGGCCCCCCGGGCGGCCGCGGACGCGGCGAGGAACGCCAGGAGCGGAGCGCCCGAGTCGTAAAGGCTGTGGACGCGGTAGCGCGCGCGCAGCGCGGCGGCGAGGCCGTCATCGGCGCGGCGAAGGTAGAGGACCGACGGCTTCCCGCCGGTGGCAGGCGCCCGCGCCGCGGCGCCGACGGTCGATGCCATCGGCCGTTGCTCCGAGGGGAATTTCGCTGATCCAGAACTGAACTGATTCTTGTGGCCTGCGACTTGGATAACCTGTGTGACATGTCCTAAGTCGTTTTTCTTTTCTGTACCTTTTGAGATCGACTTGGATGAACTGAGCTTTGTTTTTTTTTCCTGAAAGTTTGAGTCTTTGCTATTTCATCTGCCACTGAAATTTGAATCTTTGCTATTTCTCTCACCGAGTGATTCTAGTTTTAAAATTTCGAGAGATTGGCATGTATGGTTAGGAAATGCAACTCTCAATTAGATTGGATGCATACACGCACGCTATATATGTACAGGACGTATCCCACGGCCTCGACTGTACAAGGAAACAGGAGGCGGGGCTTCGTAGGAAAAGATCCTAACCATACATGCCATTTATAGCCTATACATAT